TGAGCCTGCAGGTTCGAGACCCGCCTGGGCAAATTGGCGAGACCTCATCTCTACAATAAACAAAAAATCAGCCGGGCGTTGGTAGCGCGCGCCTGTAGTTCCAGCTACTTGGAAGGCTGAGGCGGAAGGATCGCCGGAGCCCAGCAGGTCGAGGCTGTGGTGACCCAGAGCGGCCACTGCACTCCAGTCTGGGCGGCAGAGTGAGACTCTGACTCAAAAAATAAATAAATAAATAAAAGTAAAAGTAAAGCCTGCGGCAGATAAGGTGTAGGGGTAGGAGGGACCCTGGAAAACCTCAGCCTTTGGAGTCAGATGGAGGAGGAGCCTGAGAGTCAACAAAGTAGGGAGGAAAACCAGAAGGTGTCACCAAAACCAAGAGAAGACAGCATGGCGAGAAGGGGGTGACGAGCTGTGACGAATGCTGCTGAGGGGCTGAGGAAGGTGAGAATGGACTGGGGGTTTGGTCACACAGAAGTTGATGGGGATCTGTTGACAGGAACCCGAATCTTGGAGGTGGGAGATGTCTAAGAAAGAAAGTGTACTTGTAGTGTGGACAATGTCCTGAGGCTTTTGTTGAGAGAGAGAAAAGAGAAAGAAGGCACCATCTGGAGGAAAGGTGGAATTGAAGGAGGGTTCTTGCATGTTGGCTTAAGATGAGCAGTGTTGTAGCATGTCTCTATGCTGATGGGTGAGATGGGGCAGAGAGGGAAAATCTGTCATTCCGGCGGGAGAGAGAACAATTGCAGAAGCAAAGTCCTTGAGAGGGGCTGGCCTCTTGTAGACAGGACCAGAGTCAGGATTAGGGAGGCAGCATGGCCAGCTATGGTGGAGGGAAGGAAGACAGGAGCCCCTAAGAGCACACTCTCACCGAGAGGCATGGCTTCTAGCACTGACTCAGGATTTCCTGTGTGGCCTCAGCATGTTACTGAATTTTTCTGGTCTGTGTTTCCCAAGGGAGGGAGAGGGGGTGGAAATGGAAAAAAAATCACAATCCTTGTCTGGCTTCCCTCCCGGGGGTTAGCACAGTTGCCTCAGCCTATCTGAAAATCCACCTGATGGGTCCCCAGCACAAAGATGCCACTGACTTTGGCCTGAGATAAATATCATCTCAAAGGTCAGCCGGGACTTGACACCAAATGTCAGGGACCCAGGGGCTATGCCACTACTATCCCAGTCCCCTACCCTTTTGGGATACCATGAACAAAACAGCCTGTCTCCATTTCCCTGTCTGTGACAAAAGGAAGAAGATGACTCAGTAAGTGGCTTTGAGGGTGTGGGGTGGGGACAGGCCCACGATTCTGTCTCAGTCTTCAGGGAGCAGCAGAGAGGAAAGAAGACGGCACAGGTTTTGGAGCCAGACCACATTCTCAGTTCTGCCACTTTCTGGCCATGTGATTTGCCAGAGGCAGATTTACCCTGAAGCTTGAACTTCAAAGTCTTCCTCCTGGACCCTTCCCAAAGCCCCAAGCAAATTTTAGACTCACAGTTTTGCGTTATTTTTCTTACAAAAATGTGTCATATCCAAGCTCCAAGAAGGCAGGATCTGCCCCGGAACTTTGAGCAGATGACTTAACCTCACTTTCCCCATCTGTAAAATGGGACAGTCAGACCTTCCTCTTCAGATGGGGGAAAGGGTTAGTAGGTGCATGGTGCAGGGCAAGGGGGGCGGGGGAGGGGGCTCACATTAATGAGAAATGAAGTTATGACTTCTGCTGGGAGCCAGGGAGGAAGAAGTGACACCTGGCTCTGCCCAACTCCCCCTCTAGACAGGGCACAGTTTCTGTGCTGACCATGGTCAGGGATCCCCTCTTCTAATTCCCACTTTCTTCTTCAGCAGACTTAGCCCTTGAAGTCACAGGTGAGCTCCCTCTCCTTCTGTTTACACTCTTTTTTTTTTTGAGTTGGAGTCTCACTCTGTCGCCCAGACTGGAGCGCAGTGGCCTCTCCCGGCCACCGCAGCCTCGACCTGCTGGGCTCCGG